TCCACCTACATGTACCGAACAATCCAATGTACCCTTGGAACCAATGTACCCTAAGAACTCGATGTACCCTTTTTCGATGTACCCTTGGATACTGGGCCCAGTCACTGATACAAAAAAAACACTTTATGTACAAAAACTTTGAAAAAAACTTTTTTCTGTTTAACTTTTTTCCAACTAGATGAAAAGCTGCTAGCAAAAGTTCTGAGTCTAAAATGTTTTCTAAATAATAGAAACCAACATCTAAGATGTTTTCCAGAACTTCAAGTCATAAAATCCCAAAAATTATCTACAAAATGGTCCAGAAACCACACATTACCTCAATTTATCTCGGTTACTGTAAGAGATATCAAAAAGTGGTCAACTAATGAAATGTAAAATGTTTACATAGGGTAACGGCTGCGCATGGTATATGCGTTGGCGCGGCGCCTCATATGGATGACATAGGTACACCGTTTGCGCGCATATAGTACGCTATATGCGCGCACGCGCGATCGATATCGGCCGTGCCGTGTCCATATTTCGTCTACAATTTCAGGTCGTATTGGCGATGGATATCTCATATATGGATTAGTTTATCTAACTATAGTTGTAATAAGATGTGATTTTGTTCAGATCTTCCAATATCGTCCATTTTCCTCTTCAGATTTCACAGAGTGACCATTTTTCCAGTTTTCGCAGAATGATCTCACGGCAAGAAAAACTATGAATTTTGTTTTCGATTTATTTGAGTTTCTCGGATTTTTTTTTCTACTTTTACTTCGTAATAATCGGAAAACTTACCAACCAACCTTCATTCCACCTGAAAAGTATATTATTCCAAAGTAAAACAGAAAATCCTGATTTCGAGAAAAATCGGATTTTGTAACAAATTTTATCGATTTCTTCACAAAAAAATAGGTTGTATTTTAGTTGGGCATAATTTTTACAAGTGAAAACAGTGAGAAGTTCTTTGAAAGCAGGAAATATGATCAATATGATCGAATAATTTATCAAGATCGGCGGTGAAAAATTTTGCTAAACAAGGCGCACTAGCGTAATAACGGAGTGTCGTTGGTGTACTGCCGCTTTCATGGGAAAAGCGTGCATGCTATATGGATGCTATATGGGTGCGACCACCGGCGACCAGTCGTGCCCAGCGACGACGCATATAGCGCGCACACATAGCATCCTATATGCACGCCTAGGCATATACCATGCGTAGCCGTTACCCTGTGCACTTAAAACGGACCATTTTGAAGCGAGTTATGCTCCTTTGAAGTTTACGGAAGAGACACAGAGAAACGAGAACGCTCTCGTTTCTATGCGTCTCTTCTGAACTTCAAAGGCTCATAACTCACTTCAAAATGGTTTGTTTTAAGTGGTTTTTGGATCATTTTGAAGAAAATGTTTACCTTTTTTCAGTTGTCAACTGAAATTTGAAACTTTCAGCATAGAAGAATCAATGTACGCCATAAATCCATCGGGAAGACTGGATCCTGTTACGAAGTGAGTTTTTGAAATTTTCTAGAAATTCCATTTTTTGAGACATTTCTCTATTCTTCTGATATTTTCAGTCGAGTAATTCTTCCGACGAATTTACCGCGAACAACAAGTAAGGAACTTTGAAATTTGTGGTTTTTTTTTCGGTTCTAATGCTTCTCTAATCCACTTGGATTACTGTAGCTACAGTAATTCTTTTTGCTTTTTTGTTTGGCTTTTTTCTGTTTTGCATGGCTTCTCTTTCAGTTGATTTTTGGATTTTGGGGGTGTTACTGTAGGGTTACTGTAATTTGAAAACTAGTTACTGTATGAACTGTAGATTACTGTAGTTTTCATTTTTTGAAAAACTATGAAACGGTAATTTTTTTGAATTTTTCTTGAAATTTATATTGGGATACAGCAGGATTACTGTAGGATTACTGTAGGATTACTGTAGGGTTATTGTAGGGTTACTGTAGGATTACTGTAATATTACTGTAGAATTACTTCCGAATTTTCAGAAATTTCAAAAAAAATTCTATTTTTCAAAAAAATTTTGAATTTTGAATTTCAATTTTTTTAGAAATATTTGGAAAAATCGAAGTTTTAAGATTTTTCATCTCACATCTTATCTCCCCCCGCTTCTCACTATTCCTATTTTATCAAATTCCGAAATTTTTTTTTAATTTTTCAATTTTTTTCCAGACGTATACAGACAATCGTGATTCCAACACCGGACTACCATCAACGTACACACCCGAATCAGCACAAAAGTATACTGTAGTTTTTCCGCAAAGATTACTGTATCATTTTTTTTCAAATTTCATTTTTTCTCACCCCCAAAGAATCTCATTTTTCCTTCAAATTTTCTTCGTTTTTCAAAAATTTCGCTCAATTTTCCCAACCCCAATGTGACCCCCAATCAAATAGGTGCTCAAAAAACTTAATTACCCTTAATTACCCCCTAATTATCTTTCATTCTCTCCCCCTCAATTTGCCAGTGATTTGTCCGCCCACCCGCCGTTTCAGTGACAAAAAGTGTTATTTATTTAATCTATTCATTTTTTAATTAAGATTTTAATTATAATTACTTTATTGAAACGGTGTAATTATGTGATTAAATTTAATAAATAAATATCTGTTTCAAAATTTACAGTTTCAAATATTGGCTTATTTTACATTAAAAATAACATATAAGCTACATTGAGTTCAATGTTTTTGAATTTTTGAATTTCTGAATTTCTAAATTTCTGAGTTTCTGAATTTTTGAATTTCTGAATTTTTGAATTTCTGAACTTCTGAATTTCTGAATTTCTGAATTTCTGAATTTTGGAATTTTTGAATTTTGGAATTTCTGAGTTTCTGAATTTTTGAATTTCTGAATTTTTGAATTTCTGAATTTCTGAACTTCTGAATTTCTGAATTTCTGAATTTTGGAATTTTGGAATTTTGGAATTTATGAATTTCTGAAAATTCTGAATTTCTGAATTTCTGAATTTCTGAATTTCTGAATTTCTGAATTTCCCAATTTCTGAATTTCTGAGTTTCTGAATTTCTGAATTTCTGAATTTCTGAATTTCTGAATTTCTGAATTTCTGAACTTCTGAATTTCTGAATTTCTGAATTTCTGAATTTCTGAATTTCTGAATTTCTGATTTTCTGATTTTCTTAATTTCTGATTTTCTTAATTTCTGAGTTTCTGAATTTTTGAATTTCTGAATTTTTGAATTTCTGAAAAGTGAATCTTTTCCAATTTTTGAGTAAAATTACTGTTTCAAAAATTGAAAAAATGGAAACGATGAACTTGAAATCTCGTTTGTACTTTTGGTCCAAAAGTATTAGTTTTTTACATGCGTTTGATAAGAAATTTCCGGAAGATTACTGTATTTGATTTCTGATTTTCTAGATCACATAACTTTGAAAAATGAGAAAAATTTAATTTTTTAAAAATTGATTTTTCAAGATTTGTTCATTTTCGAGAAGTTCCGCGATGTTTTCAATGTACGAATAATCCAGATTATTCGCTTGGGTCCTAGGCAACGGGTCAGAAATCGCGCCCCAGTAAACGTGATTTTGGAAAAAATTGGCTGCTGAATTATTTGGCTGAGGATCAAACTCTTAAACGTTGGGCGAAAAAAAATCATGCGTTGCCAACTCGTTGATTAAAATTAATTAGGTCAAATCCACGTCAACTTTGAAATTCTTAATACTTTTCTGGCCTAAAAGTTATGTGGGGCGCGTTNTNNNACCNNGTTGCCTTGGACCCAGGTGATTACTGTAGTGCTTTCCGCTTTTCATTCGGAATAATTTCTTTAATTTCAAAATTATAAGACTTTGATTAATGCAATGGAAACTTCAAATAACTTCCTGAAAATTAAAAAATTTTGAAACAGCAGTTTTTTTGAATTAAAACTTTCTCAATTTCCAAATTAATTGTGATAAGAAATCAGAAATTGAGTACAGTAATCATTTGGGAACTTTCTTAGTGTATTCCGGAGACTAATTGACTTCCGTATTCACTGATTTCATTTTTTGTTAGGCCAGCTAGTATGTTAGGCCAGCTAGTTTTGGAAATTCAAAAATTTTAATCTAAAAAAAGCTGTTTCAAACTTTTTCATTTTCAAGCAGTTTTCAATACTCTAATGAGATTGATTTTCAGATTACTGTAGTTTTTTTTTTTCAATTTCCTCTTGTATTAATTTAAATTTAGAGAAAGTATTCCAAATGGAAAGACAAAAAACTACAATAATCTGTTGAAATCATCAAATGACTTCTTGAAATTAACAAATTTAAAAACAGTAATTTTTTAAAATTAAAAGTTCCAGTAATTTCAAAATTAACTGGAATAAGAAATCAGAAATCAAGTACAGTAATCTTTTGAAAATTTCTTAGTAATGTATTCAAAGCTTCACAACTAACAACTGACGTGAGATTTCAAATTCATCGCTTTCAGTTTTTCAATTTTTGAAACAGTAATTTTTTCCAAAAAATGGAAAACATGGAATTTTTGGATTTGTTGGTTTTTAGAAATTTTCCATTTTGTTTGTAATTTTTTGAATTTCAGACTTACTGGAATGTATGAATGTAGATCAAATTATATTTTCGACCTACAAAAAGATCCGAAAAATCCCCCATTTTTTATGTTTCATCCGTTTTTTCCTCCCAATTTCCCTTTTTTTTAAATTTCCCCCTCTTTTCAAAAATATCTAAATTTCAGGTAATAATAATGTCTACTAATAAAACCAATTGTCCAAAAACCACACGACTCAAACAGGCTCCGCCCACTTTCATACCGGGTACAGTAATCCTTCTTATTTCTACAGTGACCCTTTATTTTTAGGATGTGCTCGGTGCCAAAAAACACACATGTCGTTGTGGTGCTCTCTCACAGATTTACCCATGAAAACTGACCACGAAATAGATGAAAAAGGTATTTTAATGGGTCTTGGCACGAAAAACAGTTTTTTTTTGCTATTTTCATCAATTTTAGCAAAAATTGATGAAAATCGGCGAAAAACGACAGTAGTTTTGAAGGCGCACAATCGTAAAACTTCTCTGGAGTCTCGCCACGAAAAAAAAATTTCTGTAGTTTTAAAGGCGCATACTTTCAAAATATGTTTGGAGTCTCGACACGAAATGCGTTTTAGTCGATTTTCAAGCGATTTTTTCATGTTTTTGCTCAATTTTCACCGATTTTTCCCGTTTTTTCGCCGAAAATTCTTTAAAAATACCCTAATAATGTCGATTTTTAGAAAAAATGCGATCGGCGACGGTGAATCGTGCAAGAGAAGCTTCTGGTAAAGAAAATATAGGATTTTAGGCTAAAATTTTGAATTTTCAGACAATTTCGCGGTGGAAAACAATAATCGATTCGATCACAGAAATAGGAATGCACCAGCGAAACGATCGGGATTCAGAGGAAGCAGACCGGCGGGACAAAGTGCGTGGATAGGGAATTTTCTGGAAAATTGTGGAAAAAGTGAAAAAAAACGGAAAATTATAGGAAAATTGTTGAAAATCGAGGATATAAATTGATAATAAAGCTATAAAAAAGCAAAAAACCAGCAAAAATAGCTCAAAAATGCTATTTTTGCAAAACAGTCGATTTTACGAGACATTATTGATTTTTGAGGATTTTCAGACTTTTTTGGCCTAATTAGCCAAAAATTAGTCGGTTTTCCGCAAAAAATAGGCTGAGAAAACCCGATTGTTTTGATTTTTTGGCCCCAAAAGATGCATATTTGAACTTTCTAGCAAAAAATGCTGAAAATCAGACATTCTCAGCATTTTTAGTTCTAAAACTCAAATTTCAGAACAATATCCGTCATCAGGAAGTCCACAAAAACCTCCTCCACAAATTCGTTCATTCGAAGCTCCGCCCCCTTCTTCTCATCCATGGCTCCGCCCACTTCCACAGCCACGTGGCAACCCGAACAACAGAGGAGATTGTACTAGAAGACATGGAAATGCAACGTCTTCTGGTTTCTCATCATCGTCACGTCATCATCAGAATGTGCCGCCACGTGGACCGATGATGTTGCCACGTGGCGATCGAAGAGAGTTTCCACCGAATGAGCAACACATGAGAGAATTGAATCGAACATTGAAACGATTCTCATATGGAACTGAGGATATGTATCAAGAA